ACCCGCCTCCCCCCCCCCACCCCCCTTGGTGGGGACAGCCATGGCAGCCGGCGGGGCTGCGGGTTCCTGGGCAGTGGACTCTCTCCATTACACCCCATGTCCAAGTTCAACACGGTTTCTCCGCTTTTCACCGGGTGCGATTTTATGGAATTTCTGGGCTGAGAAAATTATCACAAAAGTAATATTGCAAAGATAAAGTCAAGATAATAGTTTCTTCTGAGAAGCAAAGCGTCTGAAGTGTTGAAGCCTCAATTTGAGATGCGTTTACCACATTTGAGAGATTCGGTGGCCAGGAGGTTGGATTCCGCTCCTCCTCGGAGTGGAGGGGTCACTGTCTCTTTAAAAGGAGGAGCGTCAGAATGTTGGCCTTTGTTCTGGGGTCACTAAGGAAACCGCAGTTTACCGGAGGGCTGCTGGAGGTGAGGGTTCAGCTGGCAGGGGGCGCCCTCGGGGTGGAGTGTGAAGTGTGTGAAAAGATCAGCTAGGATTGGCCCGGGAACAGGGGCCTGTTCAGTGTGCGTCTAACTGGGTGCGGGAGAATACGGGTGAGGGCTGGGTGCGCTGTGCCACGCGCACGTGGACCACGGGAAGTAACTGTAAATAACGGTCTTCAGAGTTTTTCTTGGGCCTTTAAAAGGATGGCATGGCTACAGCATTAAGATTTTTTAAGTACTTGTGTTCGTATGCGGTTTGGTGCAGCCTTTTCACGTTCCCTGGTTCTCTCTCTGTGTGGTTTTATGGAGCTGGGTCCGTCTCAGAAGTGAGGTCGTGATTGGAAAGCAGCCGATTTTGCTACCTCTCTGCACTCTCCCTGCAGCTCCCTCCCAGCCTCCCCGCTGCGCCAGCCAGGACCCGCTCCTGCTCCAGGGCTGGCCTGGTCACCATCCAGAGCGTGGTCACCGTGTCTTCCCTTCGTTAAAAGTCCTTGAGGAACAGGATTGTGTTTTTTCTTTTCTTCTTTTTCTTTTTTTGACTCCCTGGATGGCTTTGTGGGTCACGTGGTAACATACAGGCAAATCAGATTACTTGGAAAGTTGATGTTTTGTTTTTTTTTTAACGTGGTTTTCCAGTTACTTACACCTACGAATTATTTTTTTATTTTCTTTTAGGAGCTTACTCCATGCGAATAGTCTCGAGATAATCTTCATTGTTACTTGTGAACCTTGACTGACAACAGCAGTGTTTGAGGCCTAGTGGTTTACTTGGACCAGGCGATTCCATCTGCCAGGTGTTTGGACCTCCAGAAAAAGCGTCCAAGCTTTCAGTGTCCCGGCAGGTAAAGTATAAATAGCGTTAAGGGGCGCCTGGGTGGCGCAGTCGGTTAAGCGTCCGACTTCAGCCAGGTCACGATCTCGCGGTCCGTGAGTTCGAGCCCCGCGTCAGGCTCTGGGCTGATGGCTCGGAGCCTGGAGCCTGTTTCCGATTCTGTGTCTCCCTCTCTCTCTGCCCCTCCCCCGTTCATGCTCTGTCTCTCTCTGTCCCAAAAATAAATAAAAAACGTTGAAAAAAAATTAAAAAAAAATAATAAATAGCGTTAAGTGTCAGCAGCTCCTTTTCACTTAATAGGTTTCAAGTCGGATGGCATCTTATGTGAAGGAACTGGTAGCATGTAACATTCATATTTGCTTGTTGGAAATAGTAAACTTTAGCCCTAAGGTGTTCAGAGAAACATTCAGCCACGTGCTGAGGGCAGGATGCCGGCCCTCCTTCATCTTCACATTGGCGTTTTATCGGAGCATAGACTTGACGTTGTGTGAGAGTTGCGTTTCGTTGAGGAGAGCTTTTCCCGCACAAAATCTCAGGTGACCAGAAAAGTGCTGTGGTCCTTGCGGGGACGCGTGCCGATGTCACAGTCACTCCCACAAGCTTCCGACTGGCTAGAGTGTGCTGGCCAAGTTCTGCACAGAAAAGCGGGAAGGGACGGCACCTTGTGGGGAGTGAAGAATCAGGTCACGTGTGGTTTTGAATTTTGTATATTTTGTATTTTGAAGGTTTTCATTCCGTAGCAGTCCTTCCCCTACACTGGAACATGGCATAGAATCTGAGTCTGCAGTAGCATTTAAATGTGATTGAAGCCTGGGAAGCTTGGAAAAAAATTCTCAAGGTATATACTGGTTTTTTCCCCCAGATTTTATCATTTGAAGCAAGAGTAGAATTTTCACGAGCATGACCTTTTAGTAATCTAGGAAGTTAAGAGCAGAGAATAAATACGTGTAAAGCTGTTGCCTTGGGCTTTATTTTCTCAAGTGTCCAAATCATCTGTTACTTCTTACCTGTGCGACCCTCACCTCCATGAGGTATCCGCAGGGCAGGGTGGCACTCAGCTCACCTCAGGGTTGGGGTGCGGGCACGAGCACCACACCTGCTCCATGCCCTTCCCTCTAGCGGGGCAGCCGGACGTCTTACATAGCAGCTCAGGGCTCTGAAACCCAGGGTGGAAGCAGCTGGTCCTCGAGCCGACACGTCGTTCTGTAGCTGTGCTGGGGTGGGGGGTG